CCCTGCCATCTTCTGCAGGCAACTACCCTCCTTTTGAGAGACAGCTCTTGGCCTGTTACTGGGCTTTGGTGGAAACTGAATGTTTGACTATGGGTCATCAAGTCACTATGTGACCTGAACTGCCTATCACGAACTGGGTGCTTTCTGACCCATTTAGCCATAAATTAGGTAATGCACAGAAGCATTTCATTGTCAAATGGAAGTGGCATATATGTGATCAGGCTCAAGCATGTCCAGCAGGCACAAGTAAGTTATAAGGGGAAGTGGCTCAAATGCCCGTGGTCTCCACTCCTGCCGCCCTGCCTTCTCTTTCCCAGCCTGCACCAATATCCTCATATGATCAGTTGGCAGAGGAAGGGAAGACTGGGGCCTGGTTCACAGATGGTTCTGCACAATATGCAGGCACCATCAGAAAGTGGGCAGCTGCAGCACTTCAGCCGCTTTCTAGGACATCCCTGAAGGACAGCCATGAAGGTAAATCTTCCCAGTGGACAGAACTTGGAGCAGTGCACCTGGTTGTGCACTTTACATGGAAGGAGAAATGGCCAGATTTGTGATTATATACTGATTCATGAGCTGTTGCCAATGATTTGGCTGGATAGCCTGGGATTTGGGAGAAGCATGATTGGAAAACTGGTGACAAAGAAATTTGGGGAAGAGGCATGTGAATAGACCTCTCTGAGTGGTCAAAACCTATGAAGATATTTGTATCTCATGTGAGTGCTCACCAACAGGTGACCTCAGCAGCAGAGGATTTTAATAATCATGTGCATAAGATCCCGGTTCTGTGGACACCAATCAGCCTCTTTCCCCAGCCACCCATCATCAGCCAATGGCCCCATGAACAAAGTGGCCGTGGTGACAGAGACAGAGGTTATGCATGGGCAGCAACCTAGACTTCCACTCACCAGGGCTGACTTGGCTAAGGCCCCTGCTGAGTTCCCAATTTGCCAGCAGCAGAGACCGAAACTGAGCCCTAGATTTGGCACCATTCCTTGGGGCAATCAGCCAGCTCCCTGGTGGCATGTTGATTATATGGGACCTCTTCCATCATGGGAAGGGCAGAGGTTTGTCCTCACTGGAACAGATACTTACCCCCAAATATGGGTTTGCCTATCCTGAGTGCAATGCTTCTTCCAAGACTATCATCCATGGACTCACAGAATGCCCTATTCACCATCATGGTATTCCATACAGCATTGCCCCTGATGAAGGCACTTACTTTACAGATAAAGAAGTGTAGCAGTGGGCTCATGCTTATGGAATTCACTGGTCTTACCATGTTTCCTATCATCCTGAAACAGTTGGATTGATAGAATGGCCTTTTGAAGTCACAATTACAATGCCAACTAGGTAACAATACTTAGCATGGCTAGGGCAAAGTTCTCCAGAAGGCTGTGTATGTTCTGAATCAGCATGCAATATATGGTACTGTTTCTCCCATAGCCAGGATTCATGGCTCCAGAAATCAAGGGGTGGAAGTGGTACCACTCACCATCACTCATAGTGACCCACTAGCAAAATTTTTGCTTCTTGTTTCTGTGACATTACATTCTGATGGCCTAGAGGTCTTAGTTTCAGAGGGAGGAACACTGTCACCAGGAGACACAACAACGATTCCATTAAACTGGAAGTTCAGATTTCCATCTGAACACTTTGGGCTCCTCCTACTTTTAAGGCAACAGGCTAAGAAAGGAGTTACAGTATTGGCTGGGGTGATTCACCCAGACTATTAAGAGGAAATCAGCCTATTACTCCACAATGGAGGTAAGGAAGAGTATACATGGAATACAGGAGATACATTAGGGCATCTCTCAGTATTACCATGCCTTGTGATTAATGTCAATGGGAAACTACAATAGCTCAATCCAGGCAAGACTACAAATGACCAAGACCCTTCAGGAAGGAAGCTTTGGGTCACTCCACCAAAAAAAACCAACAAAACAAAAACAACAACAACAAAAAATGACCTGCTGAGGTGCTTGCTGAAGGCAAAGGGAATACAGAATGGGTAGTAGAAGAGAGTAGTCATCAATAGCAGCCATGACCACGTGACCAGCTACAGAAATGACAACTGAAATTGTCATGAGTATTTCCTCCCCCTTTTGTTAAAACCATTTTTGTCCATTTTTATGTATGTATAAACTTGTATTAAGAAAATATCTTCAGCCGGGCGTGGTGGCTCAAGCCTCTAATCCCAGCACTTTGGGAGGCCAAGGAAGGTGGATCACGAGGTCAAGAGATCGAGACCATCCTGGCCAACATGGTGAAACACCGTCTCTACTAAAAATACAAAAATTATCTCGGCATGGTGGCACGCGCCTGTAGTCCCAGCTACTAGGGAGGCTGAGGCAGGAGAATTGCTTGAACCCTGGAGTCGGAGGTTGCAGTGAGCCGAGATTGTGCCACTGCACTCCAGCCTGGCGCCTGGCGACAAAGTGAGACTGTCTCAAAAAAAAAAAAAAAAAAAAAAAAAAGAAAAAGAAAATATCTTCATTTTATTTCCTTTGTCATTTAACATGTGACATAAGATTTATTGACTTCATATCACCATTCAATTATTGTTAATTTTATGTAATAGTATTTGGTTTGGGGATTGATGCCTTTCCAGTTGTCTTATGTTAGGTGCAATTATGACCCTATAATTGTCTTTATTTGAAGACTACGTATGATCTCAAGACATGTGTATGGGTTCAAGTTGACAAGGGGTGGACTTGTGATGGTTAATACTGAGTGTCAATTTGATTGAATTGAAGAATAGAAAGCATTGATCCTGAATGTGTCTATGTGGGTGTTGCCAAAGGAGATTAACATTTAAGTCAGTGGGCTGGGGAAGGCAAACCCACCCTTAATCCGAGTTGCCATAATCTAATCAACTGCCATCACAGCTAGACTATAAGCAGGCAGAAAAATGTGAGAAGAGACTGGCCTAATTTGGTGGGCACAACTTAAGCAGCTGCCGGCAAATATAAAGCAGGCAGAAAAACATAAAAAGGAGAGACAGGCCTAACTTCCCAGCCTACATCTTTCTCCTGAGCTGGATGGTCCTGCCTTTGAACATCAGACTTCAAGTTCTTCAGTTTAGGAACTTGGACTGTCTTTCTTTGCTCCACAACCTGCAGACGGCCCATTGCAGAACCTTGTGATTGTGTGAGTTAATACTTAACTATATATATGTACACACACACACACACATACATGTATACATATATATACATACGTGTATGTATGTATATATATGTATACATGTATGTGTGTGTGTGTGTGTGTGTGTGTGTGTGTGTGTTGGGAAAAGCAGCAAAGGAGAAAGGACTTACAGAGTGCCTACATAAACTGGTTATAAGTAACATACAAATAAGGAACAACAAACTGCAGAAGGCCACAGGAGGCCGATGAGGAAGGCCTTTCCATGCATCATGTTCCAGTGCAGGGTGACCTAGGCTCTATTACCTAAACATTGTACTCAATGACATAAAACCTCTTCATAGCACTATGACATAGCCAGACTTGTAGCCTCCTTGTAAGGCCCACGTTCCATCAACTGTACATAGATAATAAGCTAAAGATAACCACATGTTCTTGTTTTGTGAAACTCTCAAACTGCCACTGTTTTCAGTCTTTATGATACCACACCAGTTCTGGCTCACTGATTCACTTCCAGCTCACTGATTCACTCCACCATTACTCCACCCCTACCCTATAGATCAGAGTGATTGTAATCAATAAATAGTGTGGATGATCAGCGCTCAGGGCCTTCACTGTCTCTGCCAAAGTAATGAGTAATGGCCCCCTGCTCCCACTATCTCTCTTAATCTGTCTTTTTCTCATTCCTTTGTCACCACCAAACACAGGGTATCCACTAGTGATGTATACGGCTGGTTCCCTATGTGTATGTGTGTGTATTCCATTAGTTCTGTCCCTCTAGAGAATTCTGACTAATACACCAATCCACCAGTGATGGGCACCTAGGTTGATTCCATGTCTTTGTTGCTGTGAATAGTTCTATGCTTCATCTCATTTTATAATCAAAGGAAGCCAGAAGTTGAAAGAGAACTGTTATTATTATCCCACCTTATTTTGAAGTAAACTGTCTAAAAGTTTAATTTTTTCAGAGATAGTGAAGGGCAATGGTAAAAAAAAAAGAAAAAAGAAAAAAGAAAAACACATAAACATAAACATTAAAAGTAAATTTAAAAAAATAAAGCTTATAATGCCTTCTCACTCCTGCTTCATCCATTATACCAAGATTAGTACTATAACAGAGCTCAGTCAGAAGAAGGGAAACCGCATGAGTGATTTTGGAGGAATATAATTAAATATAAGTAATCAGGTAAACAGCAGTTGAAAAACAGAACAAGGTAGACACCATGCTACTAATTGGCTACTAAATATAAATACTAATTGCAAAAACAACAACAAAAAGATTCAATTCACGAAGCTAAGTAGCAAATGGAAAAGACAGGTGTTAGTTGAACCTAGAAGATAGTAAGACTGACCCTGTGGATCTCAAACTCAGAACTCCAACAACAGGTATTGCTCAGCTGCTGTTGGAAGTTTGGGACGTTGGTAAAGAGCTTGAAGAGTGGAAATCTAGAACCCTGAGTGTAACACACCAGATAGCAGAGAATAATTTTTTCTGAAGTGAGATTTAAAAAGTAGGGGGAGATCAAAACCAAGTATTGCTACCAGTGTAAAATCTATTATTCAGGAAACACTGATATAAACAGGAAGAAAACAGATCTCCCAGACTCCTAATTTCCAATTCATTATTCCTGTTGCAAAACCCTATAGGAAGAGGGCTGGTCTAGCAGAAATATGGTTCCTATAAAGCTGAGTGAGAATGAAGAAAGGATTTGGAAGCTGAGAAACAACAAGTTAAAAACAGTTGCGCCACATATATGCTATGGCTTTTTTAGGAAATATAAAGTGGCAAGTTTTTGAGAAAAATAAACTTTCAAATTATTTAAAACAATGAAGCATAAGTAGAAACATATTAGCAATTATTTTTTTAATGTACCTTGTCTGGATACAGTTTTTTGAATTGGGACTGACTGCTTTGGTTTCCCAGCTTGACTCTGGGAAGGCGTCAGGTGAGCTTGACTCTGGGAAGGCGTCACCCGAGGTTGACTCTGGGAAGGCGTCACAAGAGGTCGACTCTGGGAGGGCATTACCCGAGGTTGACTCTGGGAAGGCGTCACAGGAGGTCGACTCTGGGAAGGTGTCACCCGAAGTTGACTCTGGGAAGGCGTCACAGGAGGTCGACTCTGGGAAGGTGTCACCCGAGGTTGACTCTGGGAAGGCGTCACAGGAGGTCGACTCTGGGAAGGTGTCATCCGAAGTTGACTCTGGGAAGGCGTCACAGGAGGTCGACTCTGGGAGGGCATTACCCGAGGTTGACTCTGGGAAGGCGTCACAGGAGGTTGACTCTGGGAAGGCGTCACCCGAGGTTGACTCTGGGAAGGCGTCACCAGAGGCTGACTCTGGGAAGGCGTCACCCGAGGCTGACTCTGGGAAGGCGTCACCCGAGGCTGACTCTGGGAAGGTGTCACCAGAGGTTGACTCTGGGAAGGCGTCACCAGAGGTTGACTTTGGGAAGGTGTCACAGGGGGTTGACTCTGGGAAGGTTGACGCTGAATTTTTTCCTCTTCTTTTGCAGATAGAGGCTGAACATCTTGTTGTTTTTTTGTAGGCTTTTTCTTTTTACAAAGTCCATAAAGAAAACAGAACAATATAAACAAAACAATAGGCAACAATATACACAGAAAACAAAACTCTTTCTTCCTTCTCTTAGGGGGTGGGCCACTGTCAACACTACCTCCATAGCCTTCTATCAGGCAGTTGGGAGGGTCCCACAAGTAATTGCAATGGCAGTGATGTTTATTGTTGCAGATACCCCTCTTGTTACAAAATGCAGGTGAGCAATTGCTGTTCAAGATGTTTACGTGGACACAGTGCCTATGGATGCATATATGATCTGTCCCACACTCTGTGCCATCTTTCACTTCACCAATATCAGGTCCCTTCATCCCAAAATGGTAATCAGTACTCCAGCACATTATTTCCTTGAAGCGAGCCCCAAGCACACTAGAATGATCATGCAAATTGGGAATTTCGGCCACGTTCTCACACTGAATTCTTCCACACTGAACATCAGAGATATTACATTTTATGTATGTAGCATCTTTGATACCACAGTTACCAACACGCTCACCTAAGGTGTTCAATTGTGTGTAGCAAATCTGTCTTGCAGTCTTTGCCCCTGCACCAAAAATCCTCTGACACTGTTCATTGCGGTCATGACATCTCTTTTCATAGCAGTAGGCCTTCTCCCCACAGGGAATTCCATCTTCCACGTATACATCATCTGGGCACTTATGGGAAGTTCCATTGCACCATTCTGGAAGATCACATTCACTGATCTCCTTTCTACACACTTCCCCTGATGGTAGGAACTTGCAGTTTTTGCAACAAAGTCCAAAAGCACAGGTAGAGCCATCAGTCAGAGTGCAGTTTGGCAGACAGCAGGGATCTTTGGCGCAACGCTTTAAAGGTCCACAGTCACATTCCTCTTCTTCTTCAACAACACCATTCCCACAGCGCTTCACACTAAAGATGTCCTTTGTGTATAGATGTTCAATCAAACACCTTGACCGCCCTGTAGTAGACCAAAAAGAACCATAACTGCAATTGCTAAATTTAGTTACTAGTGGGTTAAATTCATGCATTATGCATACATGATGTGAACACCTACATGGATAAATATCATGGCTCATGCCCAAATTATGACCTAGATGATGAGTCACTGCAATTGCAAAAGGGCCCAAAGTTTTGTTCAGGAAAGTAACAATTGCACAACTACGCTGTGGTATGCACATTCCTCCCTGCACTGCTAAGCCACTTAACCCTCTTAATCCTAGATTTGTAAAAAGATGTGTGGCATCAGGTTGTAGCCGGGGATTAATGTTTTCCAACTTCCACTTGCAAAATAGGTACGCAGATTTCCTTACGTCATCTACTACAATGGGATTTTTGTTAGTCCAGATCTCCAAACCAAATAATAACACCTTCACACCAAGTACATCGAAGACGGAATCCACTACATTAACAATGACATATAGATCCTCCAGCAACTTTGACTCATTCCTTTCATAATGAATGTATAGATAATTATCAATCACAACAACAATTTCAATAATCTTAAAATGGATCCACCAGCCCTCATAAGAACTTTGCTTCAGAGTGGAATTATCAATTTCTTCAAATTCAATTTGACATGTTATTTCATTTTGCATCAATCCGGATCTCATGGTTGGAAATTGTTTTTCCTCATTGTCCATCTTATACACCAGATGTTCAAATGTGGTAGAAAATGCTAGGGGCTTGATTTCATAAGCAATGTCATTTATCTGTAGTATTCCTTGAAATCCCCCAAAACAGGTACTGAGGGAAACCAGGGATTCTGAGTCCCCTTCCACATAACCATGATAGTAGCAGTTATTCTGTACAAAAGGCTGGTCTTCAAGGATAGCACCTTGGTCTGTATAGGTGAACACAGGGAGGTGTTTGGAAATCAAAAGTTTCTTCACCTTTATGTGGATAATGTGTTTCTGGCCCCCAAAGTGCAGGACATAGGAGAGCCAGCCTGGAGGTTTCATGCCTCCAGCAGTGCCAGTTATCCTCACGGGAATCACCACATCTGGGGTGCTGTGATATTGGGGGTGCTCATCCTGGATGTGTCCAGAACAGGACAGAAACACCCCAAGCCAGTACAGCAGGAGTAATGTCTTCATTTTCCACAAGGCTTCAAATCACAGTGATTTTGAAGTCACTTTTATGGAAACACTGATCCAGAGGAGAAGTCAGGGCTGGAGTCACAGGGGGTGTGGCCCCTTCTTCTGAGTTGGTCAGTGTGTGGCACTAATCATTAAAAATCCATCTTCTGGCAGAGTTGAACCATCAGAGCTGCAGCACTGTAAGTAAAACAAAAAGCAGCACATGGATGAGTGTGACTGTAAGAGAATACAGTGGGGAAGGGGAGAAATAGAAAAGGATCAGATAAAGTGATTAATGCTTTGATCAAGGAATGACTCAAGAAATTGCCTAGAATTTGCTTTTAAATATTGATAGGGAAAAGGGAATAGGGAGTTTACAGAAAATAAAACTTGGCCATACATGGATGGTTATTGAATATAATGATGGAAACTTGACTCACTATACAGTACTTTATAGATAATTATTTGCAAATATTTTCACAATAAATAACTAAAACATAAAGCTCTTAAGGGTGAGCTGAACTTATATCTTAAATTTCTGAGACAGTTTCAATTTACACATGTTAAATTATTATAAGCATTAATAGCTTTTTCTATTTGACTACAAATGATACATTAGTTGATAACATTATCTAAGAGACATTTTTAAAAACTATTATTACGTTACTTCAAATTTTTATGGTATTTATCATATACTTTCTATGGCATGATATTTATTTAGTTTTCTTTTTCTTCCCTAATTTCCTCTTCTCACTAGCCTTGTCAGACAGGATGATCCTCAAGAGCATCACTGCATCTTTCACAAATATTAGTACCTCAGATAATGCCTGGCTTAATTCTTTATGTAACGAATAATGGTTGACTTGAAGGTGATTGTTCTTGGAGTGAAATAAATATTACTCAAAATATGTTTACACTGTATTACGTTTTTAAAGAAGAATATTATTCAACATCTCTGGTAAATTCATGCTCTGGAAAAAAGTTGTATAGATTGTTTTCCCTGATCCTTCCTCCTAAATACAATTTAATAATGTGAAACAAGTTAATGAACAACAACAAAAAGACTCTGAAAACTCATGGACCTAGAAAATAGAAGGATGGTTAATTAAAAGAAAAATTCTGACTAGTGACCTCTGTACTTGAGCAGGGTGAGCTATCTGAGTTTCTTCTTATCTCTCATGTATATCCCAAACTGACTGCTAGATGGATCTTTAACCCCAAACCTCCAACAAGCATAGACAGAAAAAAGAAAAAAGGGAAAAACAAAAACTAAAGAAAAGATTTCACTTTCTGGCCAAATGGCTAAGAATGGAAAAGCTCAACAAAGACATGGTGATTTGCTCCAGCCCCTTCTTTAGAGTCAGGACATATGTGTGTTGATTCATCCACAGTGGCAATTTCAGACTTGACAGGCCTACCCAAAACACACTCCACTTTCAGTGCACTGGTGGGCTGTCCATTACACCTATATTGGAAATATCACAGCACTGGATGACCAACCTAACCATCATTCAATAACCAGGTAACTAGCTGATCTGCTTTCAGAAGCATCAATGAAGCCCTAGATAGCTGATATAACCCTGTCGTAGAATTAATCCAGTGAAATGGTACCTGAATGAGCCACAGAAGTATTATCCATAAAGCCTGATATTTCCTAGCCTTCTATCAGATGACATAGGAAGACAAAAGCCTGATGGTTTCTGCTTCTTCCATCTTCAGGCGTGAAAGTGTCCCAATGACATGAGTGGCCTAGAAAGAGCCTTCTGCCCCAGGTGGCACCAGCAATGATTGAGTTGAAACCCCTTCAGAACCAAAAAAGCAAAGTAAAGTATAATAATAAAAGGGCTATCAAAATTAAACTTTTTTGTTACTCAGTCCACAAAAGCACACCAGAATATACACTCTAAACATAGAAAGGCAACTATCTTCTAAAATAGAAATTTAATTAGGATCAAGTGTCTCCTAAAGTGACATCAGCAAAATGGAAGTTCCGTACTCTCCTACCCCCCAGAACACATATCAACAACAATTTTGGGGATGCTGCAAGTGTCCAAGAATTTATCCATTTCTCCTAGATATACTGGTTTATTGGCACAGAGGTGCATGTAGTAATCCCTAAGGTAGTTTCTATTTCTGTGGAATAAGTGGTGATATCCTCTTGATCATTTTTTATTGCACTTATTTGATTCTTCTCTCTTTTCTTTTTTATTAATCTGGCTAGTGGTCTGTCTATTTTGTTGATCTTTTCAAAAAACCAACTCCTGGATTTTTTTATTTTTTTGAAGGGTTTTCTTGTGCTCTTTCTCCTTCAGTTCTGCTCTTATCTTAGTTATTACTTATCTTCTGCTAGCTTTTGAATTTGTTTGACCTTGCACCTCTAGTTCTTTTAATCATGATGTTGGGGTGTCGATTTTAAACCTTTCATCATGTGTCTCTTGCAGGCATTTAGTGCTATAAATTTCCCTCTAGACACTGCTTTAAATGTGTCCCACAGTTTCTGGTGTGTTGTGTTTTTGTTCTCATTGGTTTCAAAGAACATTTTTATCTCTGCCTTCATTTCATTATTTATCCAGTTGTCATTCAGGAGCAGGCTGTTCAGTTTCCATTAGGTATGTGGTTTTGAGTGAGTTTCTTAATCCTTAGTTCTAATTTGATTGCCCTTTGGTCTGAGAGACAGACTAAACCAGGAAGAAGTTGAATCCCTGAATAGATCAATAACAAGGTCTGAAATTGAGGCAGCAATAAAGAGCCTACCAACCAAAAAAAGTCCAGGACCAGATTGGTCCACAGCCAAATTCTACCAGAGGTACAAAGAGGAGCTGGTACCATTTCTTCTGAAACTATGCCCAACAATACAAAAAGAGGAGATCCTCCCTAACTTATTTCATGAGACCAACATCATCCTGATACCAAAATCTGGCAGAGACACAACTAAAAAAGAAAATTTCAGGCCAACATCCATGATGAACATTGATGGGAAATCCACAAGAAAATACTGACAAACTGAATCCAACAGCACCTCAAAAAGCTTATCCATCATGATCAAGTCGTCTTCATCCCTGGGATGCAAAGCTGGTTCAACATAGGCAAATCTATAAACATCATCCATCATCACATAACAGAACCAAAGACAAAAACCACATGATTATCTCAACAGATGCAGAGAAGGGCATTGGTAAAATACAACAGCCCTTTATGCTAAAAACTCTCAATAAACTAGGTATCGATGGAACATACCTGAAAATAATTTGAGCTATTTATGAAAAACCCACAGCCAATATTATACTGAATGGACAAAAACTGGAAGCATTCTCTTTGAAAACTGGCACAAGACAAGGATGCCCTCTCTCACCATTCCTATTCAACATAGTATTGGAAGTTCTGGCTAGGGTAATCAGGCAAGAAAAAGAAATAAATGGTATTCAGTTAGGAAAAGAGGGAGTTAAATTGTCTCTATTTGCAGATGGCATGATTGTATTTTAGAGTACCCTATTATCTCAGCCCCAAATCTCCTTAAGCTGATAAGTAACTTCAGCAAAGTCTCAGGATTAAAATCAATGTGCAAAAATCACAATCATTCCTATAAACCAATAACAGACAAACAGAGAGCCAAATCATGAGTGAACTCCCATTCACAATTGCTATAAAGAGAATAAAATACCTAGGAATACAACCAAGAAGGGACATGAAGGAGCTGTTAAAGAAGAAGTACAAACCACTGCTTAGGGAAATAAGAGAGGATACATGGGAAAATATTTCATGTTCATGGTTAGGAAGAATCAGTATCATGAAAATGACCACACTGCCCAAAGTAATTTATAGATTGAATGATATCCCCACCAAACTATCATTGACTTTATCACAGGGTTGGGGAAAAAAAACAAAACAAAACAGAAAAAAACAAACCTTAAACTTCATATGGAACCAAAAAAGAGCCTGCACAGACAAGACAATCCTAAGCAAAAAGCAAAGCTGGAGGCATCACATTACCTGACTTCAAACAAGGCTACAGTAATCAAAACAGCACAGTACTGGTACCAAAACAGAGATGTAGACCAATGGAACAGAACATAGGCCCCAGAAGTAATGCCACATATCTACAACCATTTGATCTTTGACAAACCTGACAAAAACAAGCAATGGGGAAAGGATTCCCTATTTAATAAATGGTGTTGAGAAAACTGGCTAGCCACATGAAGAAAGCTGAGACTGGATCCCTACCTTACACCTTATACAAAAATTAACTCTAGATGGATTAAAGATTTAATCATAAGACCTAACACCATAAAACCCTAGAAGAAAACCTAGGCAATACCATTCAGAACATAGGCATGGGCAAGGACTTCATGACTAAAACATTAAAAGCAATGGAAACAAAAGCCAAAATAGACAAATGGGATTTAATTAAACTCAAGAGCTCCTGCACAGCAAAAGAAACTATAATTACAGTGAACTCGCAGCCAGCAGAATGGAAAACATTTTTTGCAATCTACCCATCTGACAAAGGGCTAATATCTAGAATCAACAAAGAACTCAAAAAAATTTACAAAAAAAAAAACAACCCCATCAAAAAGTGGGCCAAAGACATGAACAGACGCTTCTCAAAAGAAGACATTTATGCAGCCAACAAACTATGAAAAAATGCTCATCACCACTGGTCATTAGAGAAAGGCAAATCAAAACTACATTGAGTTACCATCTCACACCAGTTAAAATGATGATCATTAAAAAATCAGGAGACAACAGATGCTGAAAAGAATGTGGAGAAATAGGAGCACTTTTACACTTTTGGTAGGAGTATTAATTAGTTCAACCATTGTGGATGACAGTGTGGTGATTCCTCAAGGATCTAGGGCTAGAAATACCATTTGACTCAGCAATCCCATTACTGGATATATACCCAAAGGATTATAAATCATTCTATTATGAAGACACATGCACACATATGTGTGCTGCAGCATTGTTCACAATAGCAGAGACTTGGAACCAGCCCAAATGCCCATCAATGATAGACTAGA